GTTGCTGGGCTGTGCGACGTTGTCGGTGTGCTGTTGAGAGTCACTGGTAAAAGTGGCTTGCAGCGGCCAGGATGCGGCCCAGGGCCGATGACCCTAGTTTGGATAGGGTTCTCACTGGCACGCCCCAGAGCACGGCGGCTCGTTCCAGTTGGGCTCTGGTGTCGGAGTCCAGTGTGGTTGCCCATTTGGCGCAGTCGTTAGACCAGCCTTTTAGGGCCTGCTTGCTTTCTTTGCTGATCTTCTGGGAAGTGATCCATCGCTGGACTTTGGTGTCGGAAATATCGGGTGGGAAGTTGCTGGTGAGCCATTGGCAAACGTGGGGAGGGGTTGGAGCAGGTCGCAAGGCTCCTTCGGTGGGTGGGGAGGGGAGGGGAGAAGCCGCCGGGGTGCCGCCGTGGGTGGGGGGGGCCATGGGGCTGCCGCCGTGGGTGGGGGGGGCCGGGGGAGAAGGGGAGTCGCCAGCGGAGCGAGCGGGGAGGGGGAGGGCGGGGGGGTCGTCAAGTAGTGGGGTGTCGGACGTGGTCAGCCGCGGTCGCTTCATGCCGAAGTCCAGAAGGGAGGCCTGAGAGGGGTCAGCCGGGCGTTTGCCGGATGAAGTGGGCGTAGGGGGAGGTGAGGGGGATGGTGCATGCTGTGCGAGTTGGCTGTGTGCGACTGCAAGCTGTTGCTGGAGCTGGAGGATGGTGGCAGCTGAAGCTGGGTCAGCCGTAGTGGTGGGTCGTAGGGAGATGAGGAAGTCGAAGATCTTGCTGGTCAGTAGCTTCATGGCTGCTGGTTTGGTAGTCGAGGTGCCCTCCTGTGTAGCAAGGTGAAGAGCGAGGGCGTCCAAGTCAAGATGTCGTTGTCGGATTTGGGTGAGTAGCCCTGCGGCGAAGACTGACTCCGGCATTGACTTTGCGACGACGATGCGTACCTCACCTCCATGGGCGAGGTGGCGTAGCCACCAACTGTTCCACTGTTCGTGCAGGAAGTTGAGGAGGGGAACTCGAGCGATGTCTTGTCCCTCAATGCCCAATTGCCGGGTGAACGCAGTATGCGTTATGACCTTGGGCAGGTCGTACCCTGCGACGCGGGTGGTGTCGTAGTGATCGTCGTCGGGGTTGAACTCTGCTGGTGTTGGGACCGAGTGGAGGGGGCGAAGAGCAGGAGGGGTGGTGGCCTTCGAGGCGGTGGAAGGAGAGGGAGAGGGGCCGCGGGTGAAGTTGCCGGGGGGAGGAGGGGGAAAATGGGCGCCGCCGGGAGGAGGGGGGGGAAGGCCGGTGAACGGGGGCCTGGGGCCGAGGGGCGGTGGGTGGAAGTGGGAAGTGGGGTGGCCGTGGGGTTGGTATGGAGTTGACGATGTAGTCGGTGGTGTCCAGGTGGTAGGGGAGCATCCATAGCTAGGTCCCGACAGGGCCCTGCACGGGATTCCGGCCGTGTTGTTGCCGTACACGTTGCCATGTTGGTTGGATGCAGCAGGTGAAGGTTGTTGTGGAAAGTTTTGCCTATGGAGCATCGGTAACAAGCCTCGAGGGGGTTGGAAAGCCATGCGAAAACACAAGGGAAAGGGGCCAAGTTCGAACCAAAGGCTGGCAAACGGCAACCAAAAAGGAAGGGTCGCATGGTGAACGATCGGTCACGAAAAAGGCAACAAAGCGAAAAACCGTGCATCAGTTCTTTTCCTGGTCAAATGGAATATGGAATATGGTACGATTCGCGCCCTGCTACGCCGGGCGCTGCAGCGCGATACCTCTCAGCATGGCAAACTTGGAGTGGATGCACCAATTCTTGCCTCTGCGGCATGCAAAGTGGCGCCGTACGTTGTGCTGGTCCTCGTGGCTTCCCCCGGACTCCAGGATCTTGTGCTGATTGACGGAGCGCAGTTCCCCAAAAGCGATGGCTCCAAGCTGAGACTTTCCGATGGTGAAGTTCTGCAAAAGCTGGCCTAACGTGTCGGGGTTGCAGGATGTGGGAGTGGCCTGAGCATAGCATCCAAAGCTCGGGTAGTCATGGTTCTCAGGTCTCCATGCAGCAGGCCGGATCATGTTCTCAAAGGACATGCGGCGCATTCGGTCCGGGGTGGTGCCGTGAACATACATGACAGCATGATGGGAAGCTGTGCCGGATCCGGCTTCCGGTTGCCCGCCAGCAACCGGCCAGGGATGTGGTCGGGGAAACCAAGTGGTTGCGAACACCATGCCATGATTCCCGTCCCAAGAGGTGGTAGAAGCTGGGGTCGAACGCTATGGGTTCATCCATGTCCATGGTTCGCAGTTCCCAGCATTCCGCGAGGAGATCAGCGTGTGACGGCGGCAAGGCGGGGTCCAGGCTCCTCAAAATGGTCTTGGTCTGTTCCATTCTGGTGATGTCCAAGGCTGGAAGCGGGTCCAACTCCCCCAACTCTCTAGGTGTGGGAACTCGCATTGGGTCGGCTTTGGCTGTGTCCATGACGCCTGGCCAAAGATCAAGCCACCGGTTGTCGGAGCTTGTGCCAGGCTCTGCCTCTGACGGAGGGGGATCGAGGTCTTCAACATCATCCAAGGGGTGCTGGGGGTTGGGGTGGGGAGGAGCAGGGCGGGGAGGAGGGGTGGGGAAAGCGGCCGCAGGTGCAGGGGAAGGGGTGCGCTGGCGTTGTTGTGGCCAGCGCGGGATGGGGGTTGCGGCTGGTGCCGAGAGTGCTGCTGTGGCCACTTGTCCTGACTGCTCCAGTTGCCTGTGTTGCCGGTGCTGTGGCGGTGTTTGCCCCAGCTGCTTGAATTGTAGCTCTGCGGTTGGTGTCCCCATGATTGGTTCCACCAGCGTGGGGAGGACTTTTGAGACTTGTCGGTGTCCCATCCGGAAGTGCGCCAGGAGGTGGAACCTTGGGAGGTGTGGGTATGCGGGGCTCGATGTGGAGCCGTGATCTTGGGTGCGGGGGAGTGTCGTGGGGAGGACCTGCGTCGGGGGGAGCGTGAGCGGAGGGAGATGGGGTTGTGGAGCGATCGCCTGGAGCGGTGGTGGGGCCGTGAGGGGGAATGTGACCGGCTGGAGCTGTGAGCTCGTCGGGTGGTGTGTCGCCGTGGCGTCTTGTTGTGTCCCCGGTGATGGCGGGTGTGGGAGTGTGAGTGGCGATGTCGTCTGTGGTGGGAGCGGGATCTGCGGGATTGGGACTGGGGCCGAGTGCCCGTGGAATGTAGGTGGGTCAAGGGAGCGGCAGCAGGAGTCGTAGCAGCTGCAGCAGCGGCTGCGCGTGCCGGCTGAGGCTCGGGCAATGAAGACGGCATGCTGTTCTGAGTCATGAGGGGCATCAGGGCGCCGGATGTCGCATTGCCAAAGTTAGGAAAGCCACCGTAGGGCATCAAGGACATCGGGTTGCCGAAGTTCGGGAGGCCACCGTAGGGCATCACGGAGAACGGTGGAAAGGGCATGGTCTGGGGGTTGGTTGGAGGTGCGAGGCTCATGGGCTGTATCATCTGGGGTGACAACTGCAGATTCGGTCCACCGTTGCCAGGTGAGCCGGCCGCAATGCTTTGCAGGAGCGAGTGCATCATGTCATAGAGCTGGTGTCCAGCCATCTCAACAGGGATAGAGAGGGTTGGAAAGGGGTGGAAACAAAAACAACTGTGGCGGATTCAGTCATGCATGTCAAGGCAAGACATCGCATCAAACCAAGTCAAGGTGTCAAATCAAATCCTCAAATCAAGTCAAGGCAAGACATTGTGTCAGATCAAGTTAAGGAGTCAAATCAAGTCGTCAAATCAAAGCAAGGCAAGGTGCTACCTGATCTTGAACGTGAATTGAACTGATCTGAGTCGGCGCAGTGCGTGAACCGATGAACGGCAAAGTCGGTATCTGACCGGCTTGTCACTTGCGCATGAAGCTTCGGAGCCTGAAACCTTATGAGAGCTGCCTTGTTCAAATGGCAGGCAGTGCAATGCAAATGAAGCTGCGGAGCCTGATACCTCATGAGAGCTGCCTTGTTCAAAGGCAGGCAGTGCAATGCGAGGTTGAACTGAACGTGAACTTTTGAACGTCATCCCCTCGCAGGGGGCTCCCGCATATGGCGAGTCCGCCCACAGCGCCATGTCGGACAGGCCGTGGGTATACACACTTATCTCGAGAGGCTTCACTAGCCGAGATGAAAACCGCAGTCAGTAAAAATGCTCGAATGCAAATGCAAATCAACAGGTCACAACATCGACACCGAACAGGAAGCAACAGCAACAGACAGAAACCGCAAAAGGAATCAGGAAAGAGGTTCAGGAAATAGGCAGGTACGTCGGATTGATCAGATCCGATATCCCATGACTGAGGTAGCTTCGTTGAGTGCGGTCCCTCAGTCATGCCGCACTCCCCTGCTTGGGAAAATTCCAAAGGTTTAACGTCCGTGCTCCAGGACGGTTCACACACACAAACACGCAAACACGCAACCACACAGGCACACAAACACGCAAAAACACACAAAGAGGCAAACACACAGACACATAGACAAACAAACACACAGCCACACAGGCACACGCACACTTCGACTTGGACTCCGGCCAGAATGGTCATCCCATCAGGAGCCTTTGATTAATTAACCCACACATACCTACCATATTCCGACACCCAAAATGAACCTTGGTCTTCCCGGGATTCCCCTTGAAAACGAACCATAAGGGGGTACCAACTCCAAAAACGACACCCACACACACAAATACATAGCCCCACTACTCCTTTGTGAATTTACAGGAAAACCCAACTCAAAACCTCTAATTTGGGGGAAGGTCTGGTCCCCTCAAAAAAGGAGCCCCATATCTCACTTGGAAGTTAAAGGTTCACCCTTTGGGGCCATGACTAAAAATGGACCAAAACAAGGGAAGCGAACAGGTCAAAAGATCGATTCGCTTTGGACAACTGAGACAAACCGAGGCTTTAAGGGTGTTGTTTGGCTTATCCCGGGCTTATCCAGGAAGAGAGCCCCCACCGCCCCCCCACCCCTCCGCTCAGCCCCCGCTGGGTTCATCAAACCTGGCTGCGTGCCACTCGAACTTCGAACTCGC